CGAGAAGAAAGAAGAGATCTAGAGCCGGAAACGAACCAGAGCCACAAGTCACCGGAAGCGAACCAAAGCCAGAAACAAACCAAAGCCATACGTCGCCGGAAGCGAACTAGAGTTGCACGTCTTGTGGTTGCGTTTTGCTACGTGCTGCTGCGTTATTCTCTTGCCAAAGAGAAGATTAGGGCTAAAAAGAATATATATAGGTGGTGTAAAAGTAAATACTTCAAAACACTAAGGATATTTAAGTAATTCAAACTCTCCATCCGCATAATCTACAATCAGAAGCAACGTTGCTTTTGATTTCCAACGTTTTTCTTTTTTAAAAAAATTTGTGGAAGTTGAAACTATTGGCTTTAATTTTAACCAAACAGTCTTTTGTAGCTTTTAAAAAGCCAAAATCAATAATCTGCTCAAAATAAGCTGGAGCAAACGCCACCAATATAAATGACTCCACAATATATATAATTCGTCTTATATTTTACAACATATTATATAATATTTTTTTGGATAAATTACAAATACACCACTTGAGATTTGCTTAAAATATGAATTGCCCCTGTATTTTGGAAAATTACAAATATCTCCCTGTCAGAATTTTTTATTTAACAGAATTAATTGAAAAAGTGAAAATTCTAACTGTTAACCTATACAATAATAAAATTATCTGAATTATTAATTGAAATAAAATTTTAACATTATTAAAAACTGTTAATTAACTTAATGATTTATTAATAAAATGACTAATTTGTTATGAAATTAGAAATCTTAGGGGGCATAATGTAATTTCTAGAACCACAGGAGATAATTTGTAATTTAAATAAATCTGAAGGAGTGTGTTTGTAATTTACCCTATTTTTTTTTATCTTTACATATCTTCGTAAAACCATTCATTTTGCTTGGTTTGAGTTTTCTAAAAATACTTTTCAGAAAAATTTACTTTCTTATTTTTCGTTTTTTTTTATTGATTTATTTATTTATTTTTTAAGTAGTTTTTTTCAAAATTTTTAAACACACTTAATATAAATACACGTAAAAAGTATAATTTTTGTAAAAAAAATCTTTAAAAAATTCTCTAAATACCCAAAATACAAAAAATATAAAAATTCAGTATATTTTTTATATACTTATATAGGGATTTTTATTGATAAGTCCAATTTAGAAGTGTTTTAACCTAAGAAGTCCATAAAGGATTTTTTTAACCCATTTAGTCCCACGTATGTATAGTTTTATTCCATAAAGTCCATTTTCTTGATTTACACTATTTTCTTGGACACTTATGCCCTTATATTTAATTTTGATACCCTTACAAATATTTTTTGAACGATTAGCAATTTAATGATGTGAACATTCATATTTTAAAATTCACATTGTTAGGAATGTAAAATTGGCCCGTGGACGGCCCGAAACCCTCCCGCGAGCCAGGGCGGGCCCGGCCCGTTGACAATGTGAATATTCACATTAACATGTTAACATTCATATTAATAGAAGTGTAAAATTGGCCCTCGTCCCGTAGCGGCGCGAAACCCACCCGCGGCCCATGGGCTGCCCGGGGGGGCCCGGTCCGGCCCGTTGACAATGTGAATATTCACATTGACATGTTAACATTCACATTGATAAGAGTATAAAATTGGGCCGCGGCCTATGGGCGGCCAAAAGCTAGCCCGCAACCCGGGGCGGTCCCGGCTCGGCCCGTTGACAATGTGAATATTCATATTGACATGCTAACATTCACATTGATAGGAGTGTAAAATTAACTCGCGCCTCGTGGCTGCCCGAAACCCGCACGGCTCGTGGGCGGGCCCGGGCCGGCTTGTTGACAATGTGAATGTTCACATTGACATGTTAACATTCACATTGATAAGAGTATAGAACTGGACAGCAGCCCAGAGCGGGCCCGACCCGGCCCGTTGACAATGTGAATATTCACATTGACATGTTAGCATTCACATTAATAGGAGTGTAAAATTGGCCCCCGTCCCGTGGCGGTGCGAAATCCCCCCGCGGCCCATGGGCGGCCCGAGGCGGGCCTGGTCCGGCCCGTTGACAATGTGAATATTCACATTGACATGTTAATATTCACATTGATAAGAGTATAAAATTGGCGCGCGGCCCATGGACGGCCAAAAGCCCTACCGCGGCCGGGGGCGGGCCCGGGCCGGCCCGTTGACAATGTGAATATTCACATTGACATGTTAACATTCACATTGATAAGAGTGTAAAATTGGCCCGCAGCCCGTGGGCGGCCCGAAACCCGACCGCAGCCCGAGGCGGGCTTGGCCCGACCCGTGACAATGTGAATATTCACATTGACATGTTAACATGCACATTGATAAGAGTGTAAAATTAGCCCGCGCCCCGTGGCTGCCCGAAACCCGCCCACGGCCCGTGGGTGGCCCAAGGAAGGCCTGGCCCGGCCTGTTGACAATGTGAATATTCACATTGACATGTTAACATTCACATTGATAAGAGTGTACAATTGGCCCGTGACCCGTGGGCAGTCCGAAGCCTAACCTCGGGCCGGGGCGGGCCCGGCCCGTTATCAATGTGAATATTCACATTGACATGTTAACATTCACATTCATAGGAGTGTAACATTAGCCCGTGCCCCGTGGCTGCCCGAAACATGCCCACGGCCCGTGGGTGGCCCGTGGCAGGCCCGGCCCGGCCTATTGACAATGTGAATATTCACATTTGACATGTTAACATTTAACATCGATAGGAGTGTAAAATTTGTCTGCTGCCCGAAGCTCGCCCGCGGCCCGAGGTAGGCCCGGACCCAAACCCGGGCCGCCCGGGCGGCCCACGGGTTTCGGGCCGCCTATGGGACGCGAGTCAATTTTACACTCTTATCAATGTGAATGTTAACATGTCAATGTGAATATTCACATTGTCAACAGGTCCGCCTCGGGCGCCAAGGGCCGTGAGCGTGTTTCGGGCAGCCACGGGGCACGGGCTAATGTTACACTCTTATCAATGTGAATGTTAACATGTCATTGTGAATATTCACGTTGTCAACGGGCCGAGCCCGCCCCTGCTCGGGACCGGGCTTCGGGCTGCCCACGGGTCACAGGCTAGTTTTACACTCTTATAATGTTAATTTTAATATGTCAATGTGAATATTCACATTGTCAACGAGCCAGCCCGGGCCCGCCTGGGCCACGGGCCACGGGCCAATTTTACACTCCTATCAATGTGAATGTTAATATGTCAATGTGAATATTCACATTGTCAACAGCAGACCGGGCTCGCCCCGGGCCGTCCATGGACGCGAGTCAATTTTACACTCTATCAATGTGAATGTTAACATGTCAATGTGAATATTCACATCGTCAACAGGCCGGGCCGGCCTGCCCCGGGCCGCCAGGCCGTGGGCTTGTTTCGGGCAGCCACGGGGCGCGGGCTAATTTTATACTCTTATCAATGTGAATGTTAACATGTCAATGTGAATATTCACATTATCAACGGGTCGGGCGGGCCGCCTAGGGTAGCCCACGAGTCGCGGCGGGTTTCGGCGGCCACAGGCCGCGGGCTAATTTTACACTCCTATCAATGTGAATGTTAACATGTCAATGTGAATATTCACATTGTCAACGAGCCGGCCGAGCCAGCTTCGACCCGGCTCGGGCCCGGGCTTCGGGCTGCCCACGGGTCACGGGCCAATTTTACACTCTTGTCATGTTAATGTTAATGTTAATATGTCAATGTGAATATTCATATTGTGAACGGCCGGCCCAATCCCGCCTCGGCGGCGGGCTGGTTTCGGGCCGCCCACGGGCCACAGGCCAATTTTACACTCCTATCAATGTGAATGTTAACTTGTCAATGTGAATATTCATATTATCAACGGGCCGGGTCGGGCCTATTTTTTTGGCCTGTGGGCTGGCCCGGCCCGACTCGAATTTTTCCGGACACCCACGAGGATCGACATGGACGGGGCCCCTACACATTGACGATATGAACATTTACATTGACGGTGTGAACATTTACATTAAGGGTATTTTGGTAATTATGTCACCCATAGGACTTATTGAAACTTAAGAAAATAATGTGAACTAAATGGAACATAAGTAGATGAAAAGGATATTTTTGTCTTCTTATATCAAATTGGACCTAGTGGAATAGTCAAAAAGAATATGGGTTGGATGGAATAAAGCTCTTAGAAAATGGATTTATCAAAAAAGCTCTCATTTATATATTTATTAATTTTTTAAAATATTTTTTCATAAATATTTTACTTTTTAGATACATCTAAGTAAAATACATTAAAAAAAATAAAAAAATACTTAAAATTTTAAAAATATTCACTTAAAAAAGGGGTTAATTACACGAATAGTCCCTATAGTTTGGGACTTGTGTCACTTTGGTCCCTGACTTTTCAATTGTGACACATTTGACCATGAAGTTTGAATCTTGTTCCAAATAAGGACAATTGAAAATATTATTAGGATTTTCAAGGGTAAAATTGTCAATTTGATAAAATATAAACTAATTTGACAAAAATAAATGTCAAAAAAATATTTTTAATTTTTTTAAAATTATTTTTATCCACCAATGATAAAATTATTTAAAATTAATAAAAATTACATGATTAATTTTTTAAAATTAATTTTACATGATAATCATCCAAACACATAATAAAAATTAATTTGGTTAAAAAAAAAATGTCTAAAAGATTTATCAATTTTACATAATTTTATTTTTAGTAGGTAGAAATAATTTTTAAAAATTCAAAAATATTTGCTTGACATTTATTTTTATCAAATTGACAATTTTACCCTTGAAAAATCTAATTATATATTCAATTGTCCTTATTTGAAACAAGATTCAAAATTTAGGGTCAAATGTGTCACAATTGAAAAGTTAAGGATCAAAGTGACACAAGCCCCAAACTATAGGGACTATTTGTGTAATTTGCCCTAAAAAAAAATACAAAAAAAATATTAAAAAAAAAAAAAAATTCAGAATACTCAAACCAAAACACCGATTATATCCGATCCGACAGGCTTTAGTGACGGATGAGAATGGTGGGATAAGATGCTCCTCTTTTGTGGGTTTAGGAGTTAGGGTTTTTGGTATGAACCATGGATGTTGCTCTCTCTCCCTCAGTCACCACCACCTTCAACCCAACCCTAAAATTCTCTATAAAGCCTCCCAAATCTTGCAATCTCTTCCCAGTAACTATCAAACTCAATTCCAACAACAACCACCATTCCTCTGCAATCATCTGTGCTTTCAACCCACATAATCTCTTTTTCATTTCTTCTTCTTCTTCATATTCATCAATTTCAACTGTATCTTCATCAACAACAACATGTGCATCATCAACAACATCTACACCTTTCACTACTTCATCTTCTACTACCAGTGCTCACAATCGCCATTGGATGGTGGTCATGGAGACTCCTCCACAGGGGCTCAATTCCAAACCGCAAATCATTGATTACTATGTCAATACCCTACAGAGTGCTTTGGGCAGGTGGGTGTGTTCCAACTATGTATGTTTGTATAAACCCATAAATTTAATTTTCAGTTTCTTGCTTGTGTGTCTAATTAGTGTCTCAATTGTGGTTTCAACAGTGAAAAAGATGCTCAGATGTGTATATATGATGCTTCTTGGAATACCCATTTTGGTTTCTGCTGTGACATTGATGAAGAAACTTCCCATGAGCTTGCCGGTAAGTTTGGGTTTATTGTATGATTGTCCTATTTTATTGCTCGATTTTCTTACACAGTTGAATGTCCAGTTTAATATTAATTAGTCAAGGAGGGGTATTGCCTAGTATAGTTAAATATTGAAATTGAGCAATACAACCGTGTAAGTATTGCCTATTGTATTGCTCGATTTTCTTACACGGTTGGTGTTTAATTTTTGTGTTTCTTGTTAATTGTTCTATCATTAGGTATTCTTGTGCATTAGTGAGCTGTTTACCTCATGATAAAGATGGAAACACAATGATCAATTTGGAGAAGTTATTGCTTAGGTTTTCTGCTTATTTGAATGTTATTGTAATGTTAAGAGGCTTCACTATCAAAATTAAGTGTTAGATTAATAGTATTTCTTTTGCTATGCATACATGTCTTGTAGGTTTACCGGGGGTGTTATCTGTTAGGCCTGACCTGGATTTTAACTCTGCAAAAAAGGATTATGGTAATTCAGAGGTTCAGTCAGGTTCTCCTTTGAGTACATTATCTGGAAGCACTCTATTGTTTCCTGTGGGGAAGTCTAAGCACTGGCTTGTTCGAATGGACAAGCCGGCAATTGGTGTTGTCACAAAGGCACAGATGGTTGATTATTATACTCAACTACTAACCAAGGTGATGGGGAAGTACGTATTAGTAAGTGTTGTTGTTGTTGTTGTTGTTGTTTTCCCCTTCTTTCACAGCTTCTGTTTCTAGTTTCCTAAAATTGGAATGAAAATTTTCAACAGTGAGAAGGACGCCCAAATGTGCATATACCACATTTCCTGGCAATCTGACTTTGGATTCTGTTGTGAGCTAGATGAGGAGTGTGCACGAGAACTAGCAGGTTTGGTGTATGCTTCTGTAGCCTAAGTTTTGGATGTCTATGCTGGTACAGTAAGGATAAATGTTTTGGATTTGGCGCAGGTGTGCCTGGTGTGTTATCTGTTCAGCCAGATGAAAATTTTGACTCAGATAATAAGAATTGTGGAGGTTTGTCAGCTTGTTCAACTTTGATAGATGCACTATATTTGTTTCTTGTTGTAATTATGATTGTAGAGACAGTATCTTGATTAGATCTTTCCCTTTACTTCTTAGAATCTTTGAAATTTGTATCTCAGATTGAAAGTTTCTGGAATATATACCATGGAAATCATGATGTGACAATTATATTTGAATTTATGCCATAATTTGTGAAGTTTAGTTTCAATAATTGCTGATGAAATATCTTCATTGCTGAACTTGTGGAATGGTAACATGATGTCTGAATTGGACAACCCTTGTCCTGCGTTACCTTTCTGGGTTTGAGGCTTCTATTTTTGCCTTTTGAGATTGGTAGTTTAAAGATTTGAACCAGAATTGACTGTGGTCAGATTATAGATGGTAAAATCGTTTCATGATATTGCTAAATATCTGGCATACATGAAGTATAACTGCTACGATATTATGTAATTGAAACAAAGAGTGCTCTAGGACAGATGAATGCGTACAGAGGAAAATTTGTAGAGAACATATATTTATTGTAGATTTTGGCTTTTCTTCAAGGAATTAAAGCATGAACATTTCTTTTTATAGATCTTTCAATTTGGTATCTATGAGGATTGAGTAATGGTGATGAGTTGATACTTTTGTTATGAGAGTTTACTATAACAAGATGATATATTTCAGGTGAGAATTTGCAGCTGTCTGGTAATTCCCCAGATTCTTTAGCAGCAAATGAAACAACCAATGTGAAAACAAAGAAGCTTTTTGTAACTGGTATGTGGCAATTTCTGTACTCATTTATACCATTTAAGTTGGATGTACTTTGTATCTCTTTTCTGGTGAGACAAGAACTAAGGTTTGTTACACAGAAATGTGTACGGGTGGCTGCTTCTAGGCAAACCTCCTAACTGTCTCTGCACCCCTACCTCCTTTATCACTGAGCGGTCATTTAGGGGCCTTAGCTGGTGATCCGGGCTGTTTATTGTGCAGTTTGGCATCATCACACACCTCTCATTACAAGATGTGAATCGCGTAAAATAAACTAGAAAATTATTCTATAGCATCTAACCGGGGTTTAACCGTTCTGCTTGAAAAATGCATGTTGTTTTGTTTAACTTATTTCTCCTGTTGAACACTTCCTCATATAAGTAGTGCATCTGCATGTTCTTCTTTCCCACCACAGGTTTGTCATTCTATACATCTGAGAAAACTTTGCGTGCAGCATTTGAGGGCTTTGGTGAGATTGTTGAAGGTACCTTTACTTCTCTCCAATTCATTTCAACTTTGTAACAAGAAGGTGATTGCTTGAAATGCTATGCTGATTGGCTACTCTTTTTTTTTGACAGTTAAAATTATAATGGACAAGATTTCTAAAAGGTCCAAAGGTTATGCCTTTGTGGAGTATACCAGTGAGGAGGCTGCAGGTGCAGCTCTCAAAGAGATGAATGGCAAGGTAGGTTCACACAATAGTCTTTATTTCACTTGATTTATTGTTTAGAATGTGTTAGAGATCTAATACTCCCAAAGAGAGAGGCTAAGCCCGTCTTGTGCTTGGTGCTTGCAGATCATCAATGGCTGGATGATAACTGTTGATGTTGCCAAGACTAACCCACCAAAGTACAGCAGGGGTCGGCCCAGACCAGCCGTCTGAGGGAGAGAGAGAGAGAGAGAGAGCTGGGGCGCTGCCGGGGGGGGTGCTGCCGTTGTGGCACAGATTACACGAATGTGTAGTGTTGGCCATTCTTTAAAACGGACAAAATGAATTTTGCTCATTGTTATTGATTTGAATTCCTTGATCTGTCATTGAATCATGCGTTTTCATGGTGCACGTTTTGGTGAGTCATGTTTTCAATAGTTGACCCTTGCTTTCACATGGGAAAAACTCACAAAAAGAAAAGAAATAGGCATAGGCATAGGCATAGGCCTGGCCAAGTATTAAACAGATCAGAGGAAATGGATGACTTTAGCAGATGAAAATCACAGTTGCTCTCTGCACACAATTTTATAAGGCTTTTTGCCCTGCATGATTAATGAAACCATTTTTTTTTTGGTGGGAGAAATTACAGAAAAATGAGGGAAAAAAAATTACAAAATGATGGAGAATAAAAAAAAAATTACAAAAAAGGTGTAACCACTTGTGAAATGACAAAAATGCCCTCATCTTGTTTCAAACTTCTACACCTAAATCCTATAGGGCACAAATTGCTGTTAGGGGTCCAATGACTATTGTAAAGCAAAGTCCCACATTGCTTTTAAAAGTGAGAGCACCCTCACTTTAATAATTAGTTTTTGGGATGAGTTCTATCCAAGGCAATATAACATTATATGCGAACTATTATAGTATGGACATCTGAGTTCAATTCATATTAATTATAGAAAAAGGAGTGTCGCTTATAGTAGCCACCTATTTTCTTAAGACCTCCATCTCTTTTATTTATTTATTATTACAATTTTACCCTAATACAAAATTTCCATTTTGTTTTTATCCCTAAGCTCTCAAACCCTAAACCTTTCCTATCCTCTGCTTCGGCCATCACCTCTTCGCCCATCCTCTAGCTCCAGCCATCACCTCCTCTCCTATCCCTCAGCTTGGGCGATGCTCCACACCTTATCCACGCCACCGCCACCCCTCCTTTAGCCTTTTGCAACGTTTCTCTAGCCCCCTCACAACTGCCACCCTTCTAACCTTCGTGATCAACTAATAATTCCCTTCCCCACTGCGGAAGCCCTAGCCGCTACCTCCTTCTATGCATTTTTCTTCTTTTTCTTTCTTATGCTAAAACTGTAGCTGTAATCCCTCAAATTCTACGTGAAACCCTAGCCCTCGCAATCTTTGTCTCTCTATTGCTGTTGTCGGAGTATGGAGAGAGTTAGGGTGGTATGTTGCTAGTAGGGGGGGTTGCAGCCTTGCAGGTGATAAGGGTCGTAGGAGAGGGTGCCACAGAGGGCTGGGTGGATGTAGAGATGTGAAGGGAATGGTGGAGGAGAGCCATTGGAGCTAGTGGCGGCAACGGATGGAGGTGGAGTGGCAGATGAGAGGGTTATCAGAGGAAAGGTTGTGGCAAGGATGGGGTCCATAGAATGGGAATATTTTTGGGATTATGGTGGGGTCCTAAGAAAAAAAATAGATGTGAGCAATTTTGATGGCGGGGTTCAAAGAAGTTGAGAGGTCCTATGAAAATATGTAAGGGCTCTTAGCATCTCTCTAAACAAATTTTGTGGGGCACAAAACCAAAAGCCTTGCAAGTGGGGGGTAATTTTTGGTTTATTTTGTCTTTTGCTTTTAGAGTTCCTTCATGTTCTTTTTCCTTTCATTTTGAAGTAGTAATTTTTTGGGTACACTATCAATAGGTCCTAATAATTGGATTTAATTTTCATTAAGTTCTATTGAAAGTTAGTCTTAATACAATCATCGTTAAAAATAATTTTTTGTGATGCTTTTTTGCATATGTTGCTAAAAATTGATAATTAGTGATTTTTTTTTTGAGAGAAGCCGTAATTGTTGACTTTTTGGTATGACTAATTGGCTAATTGGCTAATTTAGTAACTTTTTGGCTAATTGGCTAAAAAGGTAGGTAAAAAAAACTTGTATGTTTGGGATGACTTTTTGACTAATTACGAAAAGCTGTGCAAAAAGTAGAGAGAAGCCGTAATTGCTGACTTTTTGGTATGACTAATTGGCTAATTGGTTAATTTAGTAACTTTTTGGCTAATTGACTAAAAAGGTAGCATCCCAAACGAGGCCTTAATACAATCATCGTTAAAAATAATTTTTTGTGATGCTTTTTTGCATATGTTGCTAAAAATTGATAATTAGTGATTTTTTTTTTTGTCATGATTATTATTAATTGTTGCTAAAATTTACAATTAGCGACATTTTCATGTGACGAATTTTTCAAATTGTCTCTGAAAGTTGAAAATTAGTAACTTTTTTGTGATGATTTTTTTAAACTATCGCTAAAACTTATAATTAGTGATATTTTTATGACAAAATTTTCAAATTATTGGTGAAAATTAACAATTAGTGACTTTTTTAATAAGATTTTATGAAAAACACTATTAATTATCATAGGATCTATTGAATAATAAATTTATTTATTAAGACATATACGTAAGTCCCCTAATTTTTGTGGTAGTCTGTCATTGATGATATCATTAAACAAAACCTCATATATTTTTGGGCGTGAAATATTAGTTCTCAAAGTCTTGAGAATTTTGAGAATCTTTTTGAGATCTTTTTTTTTTTTCTCTCACTATTCTTAGAAGTACAAGAAGGAGCACTTTAGTCAGTAAAGGAAATCGATTTTTTGTTTAGTTGAATTTCTTTTAGTGTTCAAAATTTCAAATATAAGCGGGTCAACTAAAATTCTCTCCAGTCCATACCCAGAGAAACTGATTATTTCATTAACGATATGTTTGGTTGGGAGATTTGGAAAGAAAAAAGAAAAAAATAACTGAAAAATAAATAAAATATACCTGCATTTCATCTAAACGTCACACATTTTTTCCCTTAAAAAAAAAAATTAACATGCTCACTAACCAACTACAGAAAACAAACATCTAGCCCAACAAAAAGCTCCAATAATGAAAAAGAATCAACATGCTCACTAACCAATCAACTTGAAAAGAATAATATTAGAAATAAATAACATGACAAAGAGCCCATATAATAACATAAATTATTAACTTTCACATTTAGTAAGAATTGACATTTGACTTCCAGATAGAAATGCATCACCAACTGAGCTAGCCAAATATAGTGTTACCGTATTTAGGGATAAAATTTGAAGATACAGTTATGATACAACGGGTTCCTGACAGAACGGGGTTATTGGATACAGTTATGATACAACGGGTTCCTGGCAGAACGGGTCGGACTGATCCACGCTTCTCGAGCCAATATTCGAGTGGTCAAGCCCACTTGAGAACCTGCACAAGAGTTCAATGGGGAACGGGGTGTCCCCCAGCGAACCCTCCGACGAGCAAGTTAGAGAGAGAGAAGTGGAATATAGAGATATGGATCAAAGATAGAAAAACTTAACATTCTTCTTGTTTTCAACGTCTGCTTATATCCTTTGGTAATCATTTCGTTGTCCCGTCCGACCTGTCACCTTGGCCAAAAGTCGTCTATGCTGTAGCTTACCTTGTTCAGGGTAAGGGCGTGCTGTCCCGACAGAGAGGTGTTGTCGTAATAAATGCTGTGAGGGGCTGCATTAATGGTGATGTGCAGTGGTAATAACTTTGCAGATCTTTGTCTGCTGATGTGGCTTGCCCTTTACGTGCTATGTGTCTGAATATCATTGGTCCTTCATGTCATGTTGACTTCCAGTTGTGCTGGGTCTCATCGGTTGGGGTTACGTATTGGGCCCTAAGTGGTAGAATTGGGTTGTTCATAGTGAGTTATGGCCTTTATGGGCCTACCCACGTCAGTAGTCCCCCATTCCCAAGTGTAGCTTTAGTCCAACGAAGGGAATAATGAGGAAGATGGGGGTTGAAGGTCGAGTGGCCGAGTAGAGGGTCCGACCGTGAGGAGGGCCGACCGCGAAGGGTAACCGAGTGGAGGGACGGACCATGAGGACCGACCGCGAAGGGTAACTGAGTGGGGGACTGACCATGAGGAGGGCCGACCGCGAAGGGTGAGGTGGCGGGGTGCAGGGCTCGAGAGGCGGCGGGTCACGTGATGACTTGAAGTAGAAAAGACAGGGTAGGGGAGGGGGGCAGTGAATCGTGGTCGTATACATGGCAGCATCTCGTGGGGGGGAGGTTAGGCGTTAGGCCAGAAGTGAAACGATAGGTCATAATGGGTGTTGGAAAGACAGTTTTGGCGGAAGGTTGAAATTTTTTCAAACTGGCGAAAATTAATTGCGACCCTTGGAATACAAGGAAATCTTGGGCTTTTGGGATTATACGTTTTACCTACATTTTTTGGAAAAATCAAAACATTCCAAGTGTAGACTCCTTTGTTGCAAGTGATACATCCTTGCGACATTTTTTGAATTTCCTTGCACCTGCGTTCGAAGCGATTCATAGACACACCACAGAAATGGCCCAAGAAGAAGCTGGAACCGCCAGGGTTGATCCACTTGGGGATGGCGACGCGGTGGAGTTGGCAGAGCAGTATAGGACGGAGAGACAAGTGGAGAGGGTGGGGAGTCGACGGTACGATCTCATTCTTCTACCATGATGGCGGCTCCGAAGCCAATCAGCCAGGCAGGACCAGATCACTGGCATATGAAGGCTGACAAATCAACGGTGACTGCGGTGGAATTGGAGGGTATGCGCGAAAAATACCAGGTTCCCGCCGAAATAGAGCTACTGTTGCCGACGTCAATGGAGAGGCCATCCGACGCCCGGCCGGGGGAGTTTGCCCTTTACGAGGAGGCATTGAAGGGAGGACTGAGGCTGCCGCTTCCATAAGTGGTGGTAGATGTCCTAAACCGGTTGGAGGTAGCG